ATATATATATATAATAAGATGTTATTTCTCTTATTTTGATATTTTTGTTCATTATTGTTATTTAATATGCATAATTTGATATTAGTTTGTTAATATTTCTAATTTTGTTCAAAGTTACATATATAAGATTTAATTTATGAATATTAAATTAGAATTGGTTGTTTATTTTATGTTGTATAAGTTCTTGTTGATCATATTATATAAATCATTATTTTATAATTTAAATTTTAATTATAATTTTTTAATTTACATTTTTAAAAAAATAAGTTATTGAACACCAAAAATTGAAGAGAAGAGGAATATAACAATAAATCATAGAAGAAAAAAAAAAGGAAATATAACACCAAAAATATTAAAATTTATAAGGTTCACTTCAATCAAATCTACAGAACCACAAAAAAAAGAGAAAATTAAATTTATTTTAAAAAAACTTAGAAGAGCACACACCATACTTTCCAAATCCCTAAAACACTCCAAAAAAAAAAATAATGATAATAATTCCAACAAAATTTCCTTGCCACAAACTTCTCCATTGGACCACTTCAGTCACCATAAATACAGAGATTTAGAATTCTAAATCCTGATTAGTTAACTCTAATGATTCAATAATTAACACTCTCCATCTATGATAATATAACAGTGATTGCTGCAGGTTAACAAGTTCCCTTCACATATTTTATAACAAAAATTCTCAAGAATATTCTTTACAGGCATGAGTAGCAATATCATATATTATCATGACAGTCAGTATGTAATCATGATAACTTTAAAAATTAGCTAACTGTTAAAAAAACAAAAAAAAAAGGAGCACAAAAGAATATAGGTAGGCTATCTGTTCATGAAAAAATTATTTTATAAGAAGATAGGACGTTAAACACTGTCCGGAGACCAATCAAAATGTGTCATGTCAGCAGTACCAAACTGCGGTACCAAGCATTATCAAACCGCAGTACCGAACATAGGAGTGACGTGGTGCATTCTGATTAGTCTCCGGACAACATTCAACATTCAACATTCGCACAAAATAATTGATCATGTTCATGAGTACAGTTCCAATTAAGAATAACCTCTTGCTGAATTTATAAATCATAAATGTTGAGATTGCTTGGTATGAACTATTTTGCAGGTTGCAAGCTGAAGCACATATTCATGAATCTGAACTTTCAAGCACATTTAATATAAATCAACAACATTTATTAAACATATTCAATAGTACAACAGACTCAACCCAACAATGCTGAAAAAAACAATCCATATAACTAATCACTTACAACATTCTAAACAGAAATAAAAATAGTAGAAATCACTATTGCCAAAGTCACAATTTTTAGCTCTTGAATCCAACACTACAATGATCTATAGCTGCTGTTGTGATTGAGGTAATGAACGGTCACCTTGCCATGCCCACACAATATCCTTAAGAGCTGGTTTCATCTCCTGCTTCCAGAGCTTCTGATACTCAAATGTATCTCCATTGGTCTGAGTGATTTCAACCATATGAAATGAAGGAGTCAGCTCAAATATCTCAACATCAAAGGCCAAAACTTCCTTTCCACCTTCTTTGAATCCTTCCATTTTCAAAACACCTCCATCCTTCTTCTTTATCTTCAAACTTAATTGCTTAGCAACCTCCTCGAGCTTCAAAACAATGGTGGAAGCTGGCTTAGAGGATGTGAATCTTACCATTCTCTTGCACTCAGATGCTTCAAACAGACCAGAAAGATCAAAACCTGATGAAAGAGAAATGATGTCAAAAGCATTTAAGTTTATAGGCTTTGAAATTTCTTGCTTTTCTTCAGCAAAACTGGTCTCAGATGAATTGAAAGCTGCATTGACATCCAGAGGGACTAATTCTTTAGCTTCTGCTTGATTTTTTATCTGATTTGCATTGTACCCCTTTCTAAACCATGAATTTTCTTTGATTTTTGAAATTGAGATCCTGGTTGCTGGATTAGGATCTAGAATTCTTGTTATCAGTCTCCTCACATCTGTAGGAAACCAATTTGGGTATTTAAATTCTGCCTTCCCAATCTTTTTGTACATCTCCATCAGATTCAGATCATGGAATGGTAAATAACCTGCCATGAGAACAAATAAAATAACTCCACAAGACCAGATATCAGCTTTAGCACCATCATATCCTTTTCTACTGATCACCTCCGGCGCGACATAAGCCGGAGTCCCACAAGTAGTATGGAGTAAGCCATCTTGCTTCTTCGACTCCGCAAGAGCGCTCAGGCCGAAATCCGAAACCTTTAAGTTTCCATTATCATCTAGAAGCAAGTTCTCGGGTTTCAGATCGCGATGGTAAACCCCTCGACTATGACAGAAATCTACAGCACTGATTAGCTGTTGAAAGTATTTCCTAGCAACATCTTCCTTAATTCTACCCTTCAAAACCTTATTAAAGAGCTCACCACCTTTGACATACTCAAGAACAAAGTAGATCTTAGATTTGCTTGCCATGACCTCATAAAGCTGCACAATGTTTGGGTGTTTTACTAATCTCATTACAGAAATTTCTCGTTTGATCTGATCTCTGAGTCCAACCTTGAAGACCTTCTCCTTGTCAATCATCTTTATAGCTACACTGTGTGAAGATCTAATATTTCTTGCATGGTAAACCTTTGCAAATGTCCCTTGACCTAATAATCTTCCTAATTCATACTTTTGCATGAGAACACTCCCTTTGTTTTCTGATCCCATTTCTTCAATCTTTATACAGGTCTGATATATCCTGCTTATATGTTAAATATCTACCAGAGCAGGATTTTGGAATCAAAAGATTTCAACCATCGTCCCCTATGTCATGCCCTAACACAGCAGGATTTCTCGAGTTTCGGGTTCGAGTGTTCATTCTTGAATGGTTGATAGCTTTCTGAACAATCTCATTGAAGATGAGGGGTGGAAGCTGATTTGGAGGTAAAGCCCTATTGGACTTAGACAAGAAATTCTCTGCGTGGATGCACATCTTTCAGCATTCCTTGGATCTTTTTATTTCAAAAATTTTCCTGAAAAATTTTTTAGAGAAATTTTGGCTTTGAAAAATCATCAAAACGTTACATAAACAAACAAATTTTAAAATATAAATGGATCTGCATCTCCAAACAGGATGTGCTATAACATATTGAAAAAATCATAATTCATAACAGTAAATTCAATTACAATCTGAAAGAAGCGATAATAATACATATAAAATTAATTTCAGCAAATCTGTGACTCAGTGTTCTCTCCATGCCCACAAAAAAGAGAACAAAATTGTAATTTTAATAACAGAAACCAGTTAAATTAACCGATTAATTCAAACATTCCCCAGACGATCTTCATCTAAGATCTTCAACTTAGGCTTCCTTTGGCCAACTTTTTTGGTGCTTTCTAAAACAGCTTTCTAGTAAAAAATTTCTTGAATTAGAAATTTTTCTCCTAGAAAGTCATTTTTAGAAAGCAGTAAAGAAATCAGATTCAAACGACGCCTTAATCTGTTCAATAACAAAACAAGAAGGAAAACCTGATTAACCAAATTCAAAATAAATAAAATAAGGCAGTTCAATCAAACAAAGAAAAATCCATAAAATAGTGAAACTACAGTACTCCAATTCCTCTCAAAAGAACAAGAACGGAAGAATAGCCCCCCAGAAGTTTAAAAACAGCCATTTTTCCTCCATCGGAACCTCACTAGGATTTAAGAAAGCAAGCTAAGAACAAAACATGCAAAATCAAAGTGGAAAAATTCACATTACAGCAGTGCCATAAGAGAAAAATCGGAGCTTCACCTATACAAATCTCCAATTCCCAACGATCGATGCTGCCTAGGGAAAAGGGGAAACTTTTGAAGGATTTGGAGGAAGGGGAGAAGAAAGCGTACTCTTTTATAGGACAGAAGTCACAGAACGGACGCAACTTAGCTCAAAATCGCGACCTTTCCCCACATTTTATTCTCTTTTGATGGTCTTCAGATTCCCACGGGAAAAAGGAAGCGTCCTCGGGTTTGCTCTCCCAAGGTCCCAAGGTAAGTAGGCAAAACCAAAGCCAGTGTCTGCAGGGGTCCATTGAACAAAATATGTTTTTGGGGCAATCAAAATGATAGATTTAACATTAAAATCAATTAATATAATTAAAATATATATTTTTATTTTTTTTTAATTTCAGTTAAATATAAAAATTTATAATAATATTTTTACTTTTATCAAATTTCTGACAATTTGATTGTGGTGACACTTAACTTATTATTATGCTTCTCTTTTAATGGCCAACATTCGGCACCATAAAGCATTGCAGACCTCACCACCATCTTATAGAAATTTCCCTTAAGTTTGAGGGGTACTTTTCTATCACACAACAAGCCCGATGCATTCCTCCACTTCAACCATCCAACTTGAATTATGCTGATAATATCCCCATCTATTTCACCATCACTCTGAATAATAGATCCAATATATCTTAAACGTATACTCTTATTAATGACTTGATCGCCCAAAGTCACAATCCCTTCACCAGGTTTATTACTTCTAAAATTATACTCCATATATTCCGTTTTAGATCTACTCAAGCGAAAACCTTTAGACTCTCTAAGGTTAACCTCCATAATTCAAGTTTACCTTCAACTCCCTCTCTAATCTTATCAACAAGAAGAATATCATCAGCAAAAAGCATACACCAAGGTACATCCTCTTGCAAATGTCTAGTGAGAATATTCATGACTAAAGCAAAAAGATATGGGCTTAAGGCTAGTCCTTGATGTAACCCAACCGAAATAGGGAAATACTTGGTCAAACCACCTTGTGTTTGAACACAAGTAATAGCTCATGCATACATATCTTTAATGATTTGAATATAAGTGTTATTAATTCTTTTCTTTTCAAGAACTCTCCATAGCACTTCTCTTGGAACTTTATCATATATTTTTTTTCTAAATCAATAAATATCATATGTAAATCCTCCTTATTTTCTCTATATTTCTCCATCGAACCTCTTAATAAACATATGGCTTCCATAGTTGACCTACCCAGCATGAATCCAAATTGATTTTTAGAAACATTAGTATCACACCGCAACCTATGCTCCTAACTCGCTCCCATAATTTTAAAGTATGACACATTAACTTAATTCATCTATAATTCGTATAATCTTGTGCATCACCTTTATTTTTAAAAATATGAATTAACACACTCATTCTCCACTCATATGACATCTTTTTAGTCTTCAAAATTGTATTAAAAAGTTTAGTAAATCAAGAAATTCCTTCATCTCCTAAGCATTTTCACACCTCTATTAGAATATCATCAGGTCCAACAACTTTTCCACCCTTCATTCTTTTTAAAACCTCTATAACTTCAATTTAACTAATATGCCGATAAAAATAGAAATCTTTATTTTCATTTAGGGAGCTAAGGCCACTATAGTCAATCTTATTTTCACAATCTTCATTAAAAAGTTTAGCAAAATATCTCCTCCACATTTTTTGAATATCATCTTCTAAGAAATGTATTTTTTAATCTTCATCCTTAATACACTTCATTTGAACTAAATCCTTACTATTCCTATCTCTTTGTTTGGCTAATTTATACATATATCTTTCTCCCTCATTAGTATCTAATATATTATATAAATCACTAAAAGTTATCTTTGCATCGCATATTGCTTTCTTAGATTCCTTACGAGCATCTTTATATCTTTTCTAATTATCAAAATTTTTAAAATTAAACTAATTTTTATAAAAAAATCTTCTTATTTTTATAACAAATCTTCTTATTTTTTAATCTTTTCTTGCACAATTTTTATAACACTGTCGTTGCCAGGTCCCGAGTCATGGATGTGAAAAGTGGAGGGTTGTGTTAGGTAGTCAATATCTAGCGTAAAACTTGTTAAATAATAATGTCATGAATCAATAGTTAATGATACAACATTTAAATTAAAATTTTTTATATTAATTTTTGAATAAATTGAACTCTGATTTTGACAAAATTGTATTCAGAATGAATGTTTCAATGAGTTAAATCCAAATAACACCAAAAATACCCTGATTTGAGCTCAAATACTCCAAGTATAATAAGAAATTTCATAATATTGTTTAGGATTAAATGGTCTTCGAATTTTGAGTGTTTATAGTCAAAATGAGCGTCTCAACAAGTGAAATCCTTAGCCTAATATCACTGACTTCTAGTGTCATTATGGCACTTCAATGCTTAAAAAATGTTATCATTAAGAGGATCAAATGGTACTCTCAAATGCTATAAATAGTCTCTCATTTAGACTAGTGAAAGAGAGCTCTACACAATAATTAATGTCAACGATCGATCACCACTCATGACTATCATTACCTAATTATAGTCACCATTCTACAATCACCCAATTATCTTCGTTCGACCATTGTTAATAACCCTAGTTGTTAGACTATTGTGACACCATAGTTGGCCATCCACCTTTGTCTGACCACCATCACCCGATCATTGTCATCAAATCATAGTTATCTAACCATCATTGCCTGATTACTATTGTCCCGCTATTTTTACTTGACTTTTATCACCCAACAACTATCATCTTAACAAAAATAATTAAATTTTGTTGTTTTGTATTCACACCAGCATTGATGCATGTCACATCTATTAAATTTGATACATGTCATTAGCACCAATTTTGTTTCACGCCATCACCAAAAAGATATTAATAACACCAACGACGACACCAATTATTACTAATAATATTGAAGCATAACATTACCAATATAACAAATGCATGTTGTCAATAATAACAACGTTTTGTAATCACGTTGCTTATCATTGCTAACAATATCGTTGCATTACGTCACTAGCATGCATATGCACATCATTGATATTAACCCTAACACCCAATATTAGGGGTGTAAGTGAGTCAAGCCGACTCATGAGATGGCCCGGGCTTGGCTCGATAAATGCACTACATAAAATTCAGCTGTTACCGGCGGTCTTGACCAGCGGTTACATGGCCGCCGGTAATAACGGCGGTTTTGCCGCCGGTTATTGCCGGCGGCCTAACTAGTGGTTATTTAAGTTCAGGCCGCCGGAACTAGCAGCGATCATCTAACCGCCGGTCGAACCGCCGGCCCTCAAAATTACCGGCGGTATAACGGTGGCTCACACCACTGTTGTTAAGTGATTTCATTACCGGCGGTTTAGGTCGCCGGTAAAAGACCTAAAATTAACAGGCCCGGGCCTCCCATTTCATTTCTCTTCTTCCGTTCTCTCATTTCGGCCGAGCTCCGCCTTCGCCTCCGTCCGCCTCGCGCTCGATCGAGCAGCTTGACAACCGCCGACGAACTCTCTCCGGCCGCTGACCCCACACCGGCCGCCCTCGAAGGCTCGCTGTCTTGCCGCCGTCGATCTCACACCGGCCGCCCTAGTGTTCGTGGGTGTTGAAGGAAAATCGGGATTGCAAGGTAAACTTGAATTTTTTTCTGTGATTATTTGTTCTCACTAGACATTTGTAAGAGTTTGTAATCTAGTGTATGCTTTAGGTTGTAATCTAGACATTTGCAAGAGGTTGTAGTCTTGTAATCATTTGAGTAGATCTAAATTTGAATTTATTAAGTATATTTTTAGTAATGATAGATCTAATTGGGTTGATTGTGACTTTGGGTGAGAGCAAGAGAGAGAGAGAGAGAGAGAGAGAGAGAGAGAGAGAGAGAGAGAGAGAGCAATGCCTTGTCCTTTTCATATGGATAAATCATATGGGCACATTTAAGACTAAGATTTTGAAACTGATTGTTTCAATTCATGTCGGAATTTAGGTCAAAATATTCAGAGTTAAATAAAATTATAATAATTTTATTATAATTAATTATTGTTTTATAAAGAAATTTTAATATAAAATATTCAATATGCTTATTATAATTAGATTAGCCAATTCTAATTTGCAAAGGTTGTCATTAATTCTAATTCTTCATGGTATATTAAGTGAAAATCAGATGCAATGGCATTAGACAGCAACTTGCAATAAACACCAAAAAATCAAATTAAAAAAAAAAATTAGAAAAAGAAGAAATCATGTTAATTTGGGAATTATATTGGAAAATTGAAACATTAGATACACATTAATGAACTAGAAACACTAAAAATCAAGGAATTTGTATTTGCTTAATTATTTAGTTAGAAAGTTTATTTTCTTGATTAAATATTAGTTAAGGAGTTGAAGATTGAAAAAATTGTTAGAATTATCTTGAGATACAAGTAATAAATATGTAAAAAATCAATTTTAAATTTACAAAATATATATTATACAGTATTATATTTAATAAATTAAACTTTCTTGATTTAAAGATTTAATCAAGAATAATTAATATTATTTTGAATATATTTTTGTCACTCTGTTTGAGACATGTCAGTCTTCATTTGCCTATAGATTTGAAGTTTGTGTCTTATATTTTTCTTACTTAGGTGTTGTGTTTCCATCTTTGGGTATCCATAAATCAGTTAATCTTCTCAAAAGTGCATTATATCCAAAGCAAAAGCAAATAGACAATTCTTAACAATATCAATAAATCTAAGGGTTTGTCATTTAAGATATTTTTAATTAAATTATTTTTTATTTGAACAAATTATATTATTATTTCAATGCTTACGACGGTTGAGAGGGAAAGAAGTTATTATCTAAATGTAACTGGAGATTTGACAATACATAAATACTGATAAGTGAGAGTAGCTTATGAGTGTATAAGATTTAAAATAAGTTTTAATGTTGATGTTCTTGCGTGCTCTTGAATGTTGAGTTGGGTAAGGTGTAAAAAAGTTGAGTTGAGCTCGAGTCAATTGGCTTTGAGTTGAAATTGATTAATTAATCGAAGTGTGAGCTCGAACTCTAATTCAACAATTTCGAGCAGGTTAAACTGAGCTGGTCATTTTATATGAAAGCAGAAAAATTTGATTAGATTTAAGCTTGGATTACTTGAGCT